TCATACTTCATCATGACTGAACAGACACCTAAAGTACTCAAGCTTAAGACTTTGTCCCCACCTTCGTTTCAACTGATGCATTTCTGGCCCGACAACATCGAAGCCTGGTTTTGCTACGCAGAAGCCGACTTCTCCGAGCACGGCGTGATCGACACACGTGCACAATTCCTCGCAGTAGTCAAGGCACTACCGCGCGAATTCAACAGGTACGTAACACCTAGTATGTTTACTAGTGATGTTTCCGATCCTTACGAAATCTTAAAACGCTCGATTCTTAAACGAGGAGACCTAACCGATCGACAAAGGTTAGATCAACTCTTCAATAACATCGACCTGCAACACGGTTCTGCGACGGACATGTTGCGACGGATGAGAGAGGTAATAGGCCCAAGAACTTTCGACGAAGGTCTATTCAAACAACTCTTCTTGTCAAAACTTCCCCAACAGGTGCAAGCAGTTCTGGTCTCGTTCCAGAACAACGCCATAGACGAGCTAGCTGCATCTGCGGACCGCATTTTAGAAATTACGAAACCTTCTACTACCGAGGTATTTTCAGTCAAAGAAAAACCTCAAACGACTCAGAACCGACTTATGTCACTCACTCAAGCGTTATCTTAATCTTCGTACCGACCGTAAGAGATCGCGCACACCACGTAGAAGCATTTCTCGTAAGCGATCTGTCTCTAGATCACGAGAGACAGATAACCCCGACTGGTGCTGGTATCATAACCAGTATGGAACGTTTTCCAGAAATTGCAGAAAACCCTGCAATTTTCCCAACACGAAACCGACTGATTCGAAAAGCGATTCGGGAAACTTCCAAGCCGGCACGCGTCAACGGCAACCGTAGCCGGCGAACAAAGCCGTCTGTTATTCGTCACAGATGTGACAACGAGAGTTCGCTACCTCGTCGACACTGGCGCAGAAGTTAGCGTTCTCCCAGCAAATCCTAACGACCGACTTCACGAATCGACCCAAAACTTACAGGCGGCAAACGGAAAACCGACCGCTACGTATGGCAAAATGTACGTTTACCTTAACGTGGGTATACGCAAACCCATTCACTGGATCTTCGTTGTTGCAGATGTTTCTATGCCAATCATTGGTATGGACCTTCTACAACATCACAATCTGATCATTGACACGCGCAAACGGAGGCTAGTAGACGGAAACACTAATTTGTCCGTTTGCGTAACTTCTTTTACTGGTTGCAGAGTATCCCCAGTCACAATTAAACATATGATAGACCCACTCTATCAGCCACTTCTCGATAAGTATCCTGGGATACAACAAACGCAACCGAGATTACCATGTGTAACCAGCAACGTTACACATCACATCACGACTACAGGACCACCTGTATTTTCTAAAGCACGACGACTAGCTCCTGAAAAGCTAAGGTTAGCGAAAGACGAATTCGATCACATGATGGACTTAGGAATCATACGACCGTCAAGTAGCCCATATGCATCTCCGTTGCACATGGTCCCTAAAAGGGACAGCAACGATTGGCTTCCAACTGGTGACTATCGGCGATTGAACGCGAAAACCATTTTCGATCGTTACCCGTTTCCTCACATTCACGATTTGACAGCTACCTTGAAAGGTACGACTGTCTTTTCGAAAATCGACTTGGTTAAAGCGTATAACCAAATCCCTATGGCTACTGACGACATACCGAAAACAACTATCATAACACTTTTCGGACTCTATGAATTTTTGCGAATGCCTTTCGGTCTAAGGAACGCTGCTCAAACATTCCAAAGATTCATAGACGACGTTTTTCGAGGTCTCAACTTCGTACACGCGTATGTTGACGATTGTCTAATCGCAAGTCCGGACAGAGAAACACATCTCAAGCATCTGGATCTTGTTTTCGAACGACTTCAAAAACATGGCATTACTGTAAACGTTCAGAAATGCCAATTCGGAACCGACTCGTTAGACTTTCTGGGACACACCATCGATGCTCAAGGCATTCGACCTCTTAGGACCAAAGTGGCGGCCATTCTGGATTACCCAGAACCGACCACCGTCAAGCAATTACGCACGTTTAACGGCCTCGTAAGTTTCTATAGACGTTTCATACCCGAATGCGCATTACTTATGAAACCTCTGACCGACCAACTTCGTGGAAATGCGAAATCCATTAATTTGGACGACACCGCACGAAAAGCATTCTCCACAGTTAAGGAACTGATTGCTAAAACAACAATGCTCGCACATCAGGACACCCGAGCACCCATTAGCATCGCAGTAGACGCATCCGACTCAGCAATCGGAGGAGTCTTACAACAATGGGTTAACAACTCCTGGCAACTCTTGGCATTTTTCTCTAGAAGGTTGCTAGACACCGAATCGAGGTACAGCACATTCGGTAGGAAACTCCTAGCTATGTATTGTGCTGTACGGCATTTCCAACACTGCATCGAAGGCCGTGAATTCACTCTTTTCACGGACCATAAACCGCTCACTTTCTCGTTAAGCTCTCTTTCTGACAAGTACTATCCCCGTGAGTCTCGACAACTGGACTACATTTCGCAGTTTACTTCAGACATTCAACACATCTCTGGAGCAAACAATGTAGTTGCAGACGCTTTATCTCGCATAACTTCCTTGAACAGTTTCCAAGGAATCGACCTTCTTAAAATCGCCGTGCTTCAAAAAGAAGACAGTGATCTTCAGCACGAGTTATCTTCCACAACACTTAAACTACGCATCAAACAGATGGGAACAGGTAAGGAAACCTTACTTTGTGACACATCTACAGGTAGGGATCGCCCAATCGTGCCGAAACATTATCGACGCAATGTCTTCAACACATTGCACAAACTTTCTCATCCAGGCGTTTGTGCAACCATCAAGCTTATAGCAGAACGGTTTTGCTGGCCTGACATGAATAAAGACGTGAGGGAGTGGGCACGCTCCTGTGTAAGCTGCCAAAAATCTAAGGTTATCAGACACAATAAATGTCCCTTAGGCTCATTTAAAACTCCCGATGCTCGTTTCGACCATGTTCATCTGGATTTGGTAGGACCTTTACCAGATTCAAATGGAAACTCTTATCTTTTAACCTGCGTAGACCGTTTCACTCGATGGCCAGAAGCAGTACCTATTAAGGACATCACTGCTGAAACAGTGGCCCGCACCTTCGTCGAACGATGGGTAGCAAACTTCGGTTGCCCTTCAACCATCACCACAGACCGCGGACGTCAGTTTGAATCTGAACTTTTCCGTCGTCTGACCACACTTTTAGGAATCACTCGCTTCCAAACGACCGCCTACCATCCACAAGCAAATGGGTTGGTAGAACGTTTTCACCGACAACTGAAAGCTTCACTATCAGCTGCAAACGTTTCACAGTGGACCGACGCTCTTCCACTTGTCTTACTAGGTATCCGCAATGCAGTGAAAGCTGACATTGGATACACTGTGGCTCAACTCGTTTATGGAGCGACACTTCGACTTCCAGGAGAATTCGTGGATCCTTCATCCTCTTCAATGAACATGGATCTAACCTCCTTCACGAACAGGCTTACAAACGCAATGCGTTCAGTTAAACCTGCTTCCACTCGACCTCAATCAACTGATGTTTTCGTTCAACCTGGCTTACGATATAGTACACACGTTTTCATTCGTCGAGACTCGCATCGACGACCATTCGAATCAGCATACGAAGGACCCTTCAAAGTTCTTCAACGTGAATCTAAGTACTATATAGTCGACAACAACGGAACAAACGATAGCATCAGCATCGATCGCTTAAAAGCAGCCTATTTAGAAGGAAATCCCATTCAAGTCGACTTTCCTTCGGTACAATCGCACAACGCGACTCCTACACTCATAATTCCTCAACCGACAACCAACACTAACGATGATACTCCGAATGTATCTGAAAATAAACCTAAAACGACGCGTTCTGGAAGAAGAGTAAGATTTCCAGAACATTTAAACGACTACTGCACGTAAGGCACTTCTCGACATTTCATATTATCTCGATCTTTCTTTAATGATAATTTTTTTAAAAAAAGACAATTTTATTATGCCTATATATTTATATTTTTATTAAAAAAACAAAACAAAACATAAAAAACATTTTTTAACACTATTATGTGTGGTTGAGTATATTTTCCATTTTTTTCGCCGATATTGTGCTTTTACGCACATATTGGTGTATTTCGACATGCACTTACACTTTCTTTTTTCTTTTCCAGGACGGCTGGAAAAGAACGATGCAGTTTACGAGGAGTCGAAATTTTCGTTGTAACTCCTTCTTTTTTTACTATGTTGTACCTCGGTCCCATATAGTAAGGAAAGACGACCAGACGCTGCTACACTTAGTAAGCCATCAGAAGAGTGTTTACCAACGACAAACTCGTTGGGTTTAAACTTCTGGCTGGCCACGTCTTAGGGTCGTCACTGCCCCACTAGGGGGGGAGTGATCTGTAGCGGTAAATAAATACCCAAAATAAATAGCTCCAAGTTTTCGACATTGGATGCTGACCATATGTTTTAGTGGACTCATCTAGCTGAAGGCGCTCGGTCAGGCATCCGCACCAGATCACGTGTGGTAACGCCGTGCCCAACATCAACCGCAATCGCTAGCCAGATTAGATCAGAGAATTCCGATATATTGGTCATCGCCAAATATACTCTTCCGATCTCTCCGACTCTGTCTTTTGATTTCTCTGGGTGGGAACGAAATACATTAGAATGTGTTACTGGTAGAAGCGTTGTCAAACACTGAATACCTGTGACATCATCACTCTCTTTCTTCCCACTAGATCGGGACAGCTCAGAGGACATAGCAGGCGAGTAGAAAAGCCAAGAACGAACAAAATACCCGCGGCATACAGGTTTTCACACCGAGTCATCAATACTTGGAACCTGCTGACTGAAGCAGTGGTGTCCGCACCTTCAATTGACTCTTTCAAGAGAAGACTGGACATTCACAGAAGCATACTAGAAAAGGAATAACATAGGCCGTAGGCCTTCTGTCCTTACTACACAAATCTGAATCTGAAATATTGAATTTGTTTATCTAACTCAACCGAAGCTGGCTTCTATGGATATAATTAGTCTCAATTCGTAAATCCGAACACATGGTCTTTAAAACATATCGCCCAGTACAGACTTCTATAAGTGTTTGGTTAAAAAATTCCTTACTTACTCATCAGATTATTTTCTTGGTAATTCCTGTTAAATAATAATAATTCACTAGTTATTAATGGGAATTCTTGTGGGTCTATCATGTTGGCTACTAATTTGGACATCTCGGTTTTCTGACTTCGAAATTATCATGAAGTCCTATTACTTTTCTTCCGGAAAGCTTGTATTGCTTATTTCATCTATATTTGGAGCTGGAGTGGCTGTTTTTGGATACTGCATTTTCAACGTTGATAGTCCTACTTTGTTACTAATTGTAAGTTTTGCTTCAAAACTTACTCAGAAAGCACATAATTAGCAACTTTATCCTTATTTGGGCGTTTCTGTCAGTAAGCGTTTGTGGATTTTTGCTATTACTGGAGGTGGTATCTTATTGATAATTATATACACTTTTCTAGTTGGACATAGAATTACCAGGTAAATTTACATCAGCGATAACGAAATATTATGGCATAAATATGTCAATTCGTCGAAATAAGGATTTGACTGCTGCATTAAATGAGATTCAATTCAAAGTATGCAAATTAAAGTCCACTTTTTTTCCTGTACAAATGTAGTTTAAGTGTTGCGGTACGCATGGTGAAAAATCAAGTAATTATTCATGGTTTATTTATAGAGGGTCAAGCACGTGGTTTTACATTACACAAGAGCTAGGTAGGTCCAATTATAAAGTTTTTGTTCATCTGTAATTTATTTCTAAAGAGAATAAATATTTGGTCTTCAGAATTTTTATTGGCTTGTGATCTGTTTCAGTTTGGAAAGGACAGGAGGCTTGATGGCCTGTGTTAGTCCTGGCAATGGTGGTCTCTCAGTAGATCCAACTTTTTTTTGAAAGAGTCGACGGATGGAGCCCCATCCACTTGCTGAGGTAATGAATTCCACTCGTTGACGATTCGATGGGAAAGTCGATAGTCAGCTGACAAGTAATCTGTTCTGGGCTTGTGAACGTTTTCGGAGTGTCCTCGTAAATTCTCTGTTTTGGAAGACAAGAAAAATGAGGGCGTATCAAGTGCAAATCTATCACTAAGCAGTTTGAAAACTGTAATCAAGTCGCCTCTAGTTCTACGATATGACAACGGGACTAGGTTTAGTTTGGCCAGTCGAGTATCATACGGGAGCTTCTCTATTCCGGGAATCAGCTTAGTTGCTGTTCTCTGAACCTTTTCCAGAAACTCACTGTCTTTTTAAGCAGGGGCTAGCCGCTTGTGTGCAGTGCTCAAGTTCAGGACGTACGAATACTGTATACAAAGTCAAAAACGTTTTGGCGTCGACATAACTAAAAGCCATAAAGTTCTAAAACCTTTGGCGGCTATTGCACGAGAGTGTGCAATCGTCTTTAAGTCTTGGCTAACGATGACTCCTAAGTCATTATGTGTCTGGTCAACAGGTAGCTCAGTGTTATTCATCGTGTATGTATCTGTACCTTGATGACCGATATGCATCACAACACACTTGGAAGTATGTATCGGCAACTGCCAGGTTTGAGACCATTCAGATAATTTCTTCAGGTCATTTTGGAGTTCTAAGCTATCACCCTTACTTCGTATTGTTCTCCATATCTTGACATCGTCAGCATATAGCAAGACCGATGATAATAGGAGACGAGGAAGGTCATTTACATGCAAGTGGAATAGTACTGGCCCCAAAACTGTACCCTGCGACACTTCACTAAACACAGTCTCCCAGCTAGATAACTTTGAGTTCACCCGTACTCTTTGTTGACTCCCAGCTAGGAAGTCTTTTATTCGCATCAATAGATTGCCTCCAATTCCGACATTTCTTAGCTTCTATAACAGCCGGTTGTGAGGAACTTTGTCAAAAGCTTTGCTGAAATCAATGAAGGCTACGTCTACAGGTAACTTTTGGTCCTTAAGAGCTCACCAGCTTTCACGAGTGACTAATAAGTTAGTGAGACAAGAATAATCTTTTCTAAAATTTTAACAACCACAATAGTTAAGCTAACGGGTCGGTAATTCTCAGGTCTATGCTTCAAAACTGTTTTGAAGACAGGACTTACTATGGCGTTCTTCCAGTATTTTGGTAAACGACCCTGGGCTACGGATAGATTAAAGCATATACTTAAAGGGCTTGCAACGAAGTTAGATAATTCCTTCAGTAGCCTAGGATGCAAATCATCGGGCCCCGTGGATTTACCTATTTCAAGCTTATTTAGCAGACCAAAGACATAGAGTTGTTTAATGGTCACTCTATCCAGTGTATTTGTGGGGGAATTTGTATACGCTGACGGAAAGGGTGCTTCTATAGTGTATACATTGCTAAAGTAGTTCGAGAACCCTTGATCCTTACCAAAGTCGTCCTCCACCAATGATGCGGCAGTACTGTCTCCCCATAGTGCAGGAATGTTTCTTCTTCTTTTTGTCCTTTGGTTTATATAGTAATACAAGCGTTTAGGATATTCTATGGATTCCTTAACAATTTTTCTTCGTACAACTTTCTAGACTTACGGAGGGTCAAGGCACAGGTATTCCGAGCTTTTTGATGCTGAGATTTTGTCTCATCAGTCCCTAGTAACCTAAATCTATCCCACATTTTTCTTGTCTTACGGAGAAGGATGCGGAACTCCCCGCTGAACCACGGTGGAGAGTTTCTCGGCCCTCTTGGTATAGTCCAAAGCATGTGGAGTGCGGTAACTTTTAAGCATAAATTTCGAAATGCGTCCCAAGCCGTTTCAATGGAGGACTCTGGGTCTATTGTCCAGTCTACTAACGATGCTGAGTGCATGATATCTGGTATGTTTGCTTTCCAGTAGTTAGGTCTGGATTGAGCTAACGCGTACTCGTGATTGACAGTTATATGGAAGTCGAAAGTTAAAGCTGCGTGATCACTTTTACCTAGGGTTGGGATGTAATAGATGTTCGCAACGTCATCCTCATAGTGAGTCTATAGAAGATCTAGTAAGGATGATTCAGCGTCTTGGTCGTACCTAGTCGCTTCTTTCACATGTTGTACAAGGGCACATGTGATAATTGCATCAACTAGTTCCTTCTCGAAGGAATTTTCTGATAATTCAGTTCGCAGATTTTCCCAGTCTACTATGAGTGCATTAAAGTCCCCTAGGATTAGACATCGACCACTTTGTGACCAAGTATTGAGACTGCTCAGCAGGACTTCATTTACCTCATAGCTTGGACTGCGATAGACCAAACCAATCATAAGCTCTTGTCCCTTGCATTTCAAGTGGCAGATAACTAATTCACACGTCACACTCTCCTGGGATACACTGTCGATAATGGTGAGTGGGATAGCATTCCTAATGAATAGAGCTACTCCCCCTCCTTTACGCTTTTGTATTCTATCGGCCCTTACTAACGTAAAACCCTCGAAATCAAGTTCCATATTATCTATAGCCTGTGTCAGCCAGGTTTCTGTGACTGCGATCATGTCTGGCTTTGTAGAGTCAATCTGTACACCTAGTTCCGATCCCTTATTGAGTAAGCTTCGAGCATTGGTGTAACAGATCCGAAGCCTGTTTAAGTGGCTTCGTGCTTCACCCAGAGTGGCTTCGGTATCACTCTCTGTCGAAGCCTTACAACCCGAAAATTTACAATTTTCAGGTCCTTTTCGCCAGCGTCTAACCTAAGTTGTAGTTCTTTTTTGGCTTCCCATCTTTTTACGCGGTCTGCCAACGGTAATTCCTTACGGATAAAAACTCCTGAACCCTTTAATTTATGTCCATCCTGTAAAATTAAGTCGCGTTCATTCGAAGATTTGAATACTACTTTAAGTAGTCTGGATTGATTTCGCTTCAAGTTCGCTAGACTACCTAGTCTGTACATCTTTAGCAAGGTGACTCCGGGGATGTTTTGAGGCATGAGTTGATTAAGTAGCTGTTTCATCAGCACCATGTCATGCTCAAAACGAGTTTTTGGTTCGGAGCTTTCATTCTCCTTGATTCTATGAAAAATAACTGATCTGTTATTGTGGTTAGCATTCGATTTCTCGACTAATTTTGTGGGGGCAGGATTCCCTTTTATATCGTTATGTTGTTTTTTCCTTACAACCTGTAACCATTCGTCAACGTTGCTATGAGAGGCAACCACAGTTGCGTCAAACATACTGTGGGATTCCGGAGGGTTGTCGACGATTTGGGAGGTCAGGTTATGTTTCCCGCTAGAAACCGATCGAGCCTTGCGATTGCGGCTTCTATGCGCTTCCTGCTGGATAGCACTTAGAAGACGGGGGACAGAAGAAACTTCTTTTCTTGAGTTTTTGGTTAAGAAAGACCTCTTTGAAGACTGTTTTTCCTCCTTTGGTCAATGTGAGTCACCTGTTTTCAAACTCACCTGACTTTGCTTCACACCAATTTGCGTGTCGACAGAGCGAGTACTGTTCGATTTATCCCGGTCACGCCCGCCAAAACACTTTTTTGCAGCATTTACCAATCAGATGGCCTCGGTTAGCAAGCTGTTTGCAACCGGACAGCACTGTTGACAAAGCCATACGCAACCAATTTTACTGAACCGTTTAAAAGCCGCAGGCGTTAAATTCATGCAAACTTCCTGGTACCGGCCTTTCCACTCATCGCACTGCATGTCGCTTTCAACGGGATAACGACAGCCCGGACGTTGATAATTGCTTTTTTGTACTGTCCAGTCATCAGACAGAGGTCTTTTTTTAGAAAAAGAGAACTAGATGCAATAATGCTCAGAGACAAAAATGATCTGTGACCAAAAAAAGTTGAAAACTGTAGATTGTTAGAACCAAAAGTACTAACAAATAGAACAGAAAACAAAGTACTCAAAAGTATCGACGAAAAACTAATTTAAAAACAGAAACGATACTCTAATCGAATATTTTAACTGAAATAAATTCAATTAAAGTGAAAACAGTAGTATTGATGCGTAATAAACAATCAAAACAATAGAATTTACTCAGCGACGAAAAATACCACTGTCCTTTTAATTAGCGCGCGTCATTTTGGACGAACAAATGAATATATCCTCGTTTAATTCTGTATACTGCATCTAGACCAATTCTCTTCATGAAAAGTGGGTACTAAGAAGCCAAACACGGACGAAGTTGATTTGGTTTATTTCATATAATCGTTTGTGCAGACCGACATTAAAATGAGAATCGCGAAAACTAAGCGAAGGCAAGCGTGCCAAATAATCTTGATATTAATCCATTGTTTATACCACACTAAATTAAACAATAGATATGTGATGAATAAAGTAAGCGATCCACTCATATACGCTCAGAATAGATAATGCCTAGTGTTTCCAACAGAACTCCTTTAGACAAACTAATGAGTGACTGATTTACACACAAGGTGACTACGTTTGGAATTGCAAGGACATAAATACGAGAAGTAGATTCACGGGAGGTCACAATTTTCTGTGAAAGGAATAAAGTTATTATGAAAATAAAAATAGCCCAATAGTTATTGAAGTTATTAAAGTCTATTCAGCTACTAGGATAAACCGCTTGTGTCCTAGTACCGTGGTAAACGAGAACAACAGTCGGGACGGCCAAATGTTTTTATATCAAGAGGAGTATAGTTACGTCCCCCAATTTCTACATCGACAAGCATTCTCAAACTTACAAAACTTATCAAGCTATTGACTTGGTTGATCGTCATTCATTTTTCAATATGCTATTAGTAATATGTGTTGTATCTTTAATACATTTGTGGTATATTCGCTCAATCCCGGAAAAAGTATTTGTACACAAGCAATTATTGTTATAAAGACTCAAACGCTTTATTACGGATGTGCGAGTGTGAACATGTTGCTAAAAATGTTAACAAGTTTTATCTTAAATTTTCTGATTGCCTAGTGCACTATTTTTCATCTAGTTAAGTACAGAACAGTCCCGCCTGTTGTAACGTGTGACTGCAGATTAGACGCTCAGCGTATTTATCGATCGGATCAATGACACGCAAAATACGTACGGACGACCTAGAATCCCGATTGGCCCTGCTTCGCTGCCTAGCCCAGCCAGTTGAGTCCAAAACGCAAGTCTCAACCTCTGAGATATGAATCATTGTATTTCAAGCATACCCTTTTTATAAACCAATCAACCCGACCACAACGTACCAATAAAATAGAGAATAACATTTGTACAATAATTAGCCAGAAGTGGCTGTGAATGAGGGAGGTAGCGATTAACAGATAGGGAATAATTCATGAGTGGTAAATCATACAATAGTAGTTCATAGGTCAACATAAAGCTCATAATAAGAGGGGTATGAATATGAACAGTTTAGTTTCATAACAACTATACGATAAAAATATACTCACAATATTGGTCCATAATTGGATCCCAAAAATTACCATTCATTATTCTTATCGGAACACAGCACCGCCAATCATACTTCTAAAGGAGGAAGCAAGTAAAAGTATTTGAAACATCGTAAAATATAGATATAAGTACAAATAAACCATTTCAGAAACTACAAGCCAACGTCAAAATGTAGTTACACTAACTGGAAATTGCTTTATACAAATTCATACGATGACTTTTATCACTGGTTGTTAAGCATTCTTTTTAGATGCTAATGGTAAATAAATTCAGAGGAAGCGGTGATACTACATGAAATTAACAAAGTAGAAGTTCCAGATCTCTTAAACCTTTTGCATTTACTTTTTGAAGACAATTTTGGGCTACGGGGGTAATAGTTTGGGCAGATAGCAAACACCCATTGAAAACAAAATAGCATGATCTTGATTATTATTACTAAATAGCTTGTATCATATAGGTACTTGGGGTAATAAATAGAAGAAAATATGAGGTCTAGCGGTAAAATGTTTGCAGGTTATGATTTCGGTTTTTTTCTCACAGATACTGAGAGTATCGTGGATTCATTATTGTGGCGGATCTTGACGGTTTATTGCTTGGTCTATGCCAAATATTCACCAACTTTTAGGTTAATATTTTTGCTTGACGGGATGCCTGGATGTAAATGGTTAAATATAAAGTTTATTATAAGAACTACGAGCAAGGTGCAGAAATCAAACGCAAGTTGTCTATTGTAAGGACCATAGGCATCACCACTGAGCTATTCAGGTTGAAAATAACTGTAAATAGGGTTGGGTTATGTACAATAATCGGTCACTGAGTGGTAAATAAGGTATTTTTCCAAGTTATTACTTGTGGCTGAATTCTATTGGTTCATGTATCTTAATGATAAATTTATTGTCTTAACAGCTCACTTGCAATCTCAGAAGTCTCAATAAATTATTTGACTTTCGTAAAACCATTTGTTTAGATAGCGAATCCTTTTTATTTAAACCTTAATATTTTCTCTTAAAAATGTTTTACTTGTGACCAGCCGGGACAAAACTGTCTTCCAATTACTCGAAAATAAGATTTCATTTTAGTCTATTCGAAACTTTTAAATGCCTTTTTTAATATTTTGGCATAGGTCTAAAATCAACGGTCCAATACGTTCCAGAAAGTTGTTGTGTTTTAAAAAGTCACAATCTTCAACTCAATTCTTTCTCAGAAATTCAGTCGCAAAGTGGTGTTTTCCTAGACAGAGAACTATGTATTGGTTATAAGTCACTTACAACAAGAGACGATATTGCACCTCGTATTGATAATCCATTATATACCACTAGAAGTAATACATATCTAAATGAAAAGGTAAAAATCATCAACAATGTCCAGTTTTTTCTTGAATGTTTTGCTTTTCTAGGGATGTGTAACGGTAGTCAGACAAGAGTATCAACAATATTCTATCATGTTAGCTGCTTCAGGCACAACTGCTCTGGTGCTATCTGTAAGTTGTTTTTGTTATAACAGCGAAATCCGGTACTTTTCGAGTTTTCGGTAAATAATACGACAATGGTACAATACAACGGTTTGGTACACTATGTATAGACAGCACCATGTTATACCTAGAGGAAAGATTCATGATCAACAATCGACTATCAGATTATAGACCAGACAATAGCTTGTTTAGCACAAATCCAAGTATTTCACATGGAGTCCTTAGTGATATTAGAGTAAGAATCAATTATAGGGGTGGATTCATGATATTAATTAATGTCATAACATTTGACAAATTGGATATCTATTTTTCTTCACTCGCTGTTCAATCATATCTCGCTCTTACCTATCACACATCGGTCCTCATAAGACATCTTTACTAAATGCTGTGTTATTTCCTTTTATTTATATGAAGTTATTTCTGTTTCAGATAGTTGGATTTATTCTGTCACTGGTTCTACTATTCCATATTGAATATCAACAATTTGTTAGAATTTCAACGGACTGGAATATTAATACTAGTACAATTAATATACAGTCATCTATACAAGACAATATCAGCACTACATCTAAACAGTTATCAGAGAATGAAGTGTTAGTTAAAGCCTAAAATATACCTACTGAGTTACATTACTTTATATTTCTGTATATTATATATACATTTTTTTTCCACGGAGCAATCCCTAATCACATAAGATTCTGTTATATTATATATTTGTAGAATATGTAGATAAATGTGAATTAGGTGGCTGACATTTCTGCGTATATTGTCAGTTGTAAATCAAATTTATAATATTGAAGTCTGACGATACACATTTTTAAATCATTTGATTGAACAGGAAAAATTAAGCATTTGATTATTACCAATAGGCCTACTATACTATTAAGTAAATTTATTGATCTTAATTTAATGTTTACATACATCACTTCTTGCTTTAAAACAATTTTCTTCTAAAACTGATATCATTTAAGAAGCTACTGAGAATATTTGATTTCATTCTACAAACGTAGATTTTCGTCATTATGTATATATCTCCACAAACCCCTTTTGATAATAATCATCTGCTCACTAGTGACTGACTTCAAGAGATACTCCTGGAGTTCTAGTGGGAAGCCGTTACCAGTGGAGTACGACCAGGTCTGTTGTGAGATATCAGCTCACTGAAGACAATGGTATATGGTGGCGCAACTTCGTGGATTGGTTGAAGTTAGACATTAACACAGTTAGATGCCGGCTCAGTGGTCTAATGGTTAAGTGCTCACGCGCGAGGCCAGTAGGTCCTGGGTTTGAGCCCCGCGTGGTGCGGGATCGTGGGTGCGCACTGCTGAGGAGTCCCATACGAGGACAAAACGGCCGTCCAGTGCTTCCAGGTTTTCAATGGTGGTCTAGCTTCAACTGACACATGATTTCAATAAAAACACCTCAGATTAGTTCGTGTAATCTCAAGATCGTAGAAATAGCCTATTAACACCAAAAAGTACTCAGTGTACAAATTTTTAAAAAGATGTAATTAATACAGTAAGATTGTGAATATCTGTTGTAGCACTCAAATTATAAATACTACGGATAGTATTATTTATTTCTAAGACTCGTGATATGATGAGCCAATCAGAAGTAGCCAATTGAGAAGGTAACTTTATGACAATCTGAAATGACCTGAAAGACATGTGCTTATCATTGGCTAACAAGTGGATTGATTTTCTAAGGGATATATATATCTATATGTATGTGAGTACATATCATTCGATAATCCGATATACTATCTCGTTCACTTTTATGTCCCTGATCAAGTACTTAGATGGGTGGTCAGCATGTATCACGTGTATCAATATCAGATCTCGGACACTTCCCATCAAAACAGCTTGTTTCAGAGGTTGAAATGAATGTGTTATTTTATGCTGTAGTTGGAGATCTTATGGCTCAGGTATTCATATTGAAATCATAACATTCTATTAGGTTGGAAAACGTAAAATCAACGACAAGGGTAGAGCGTCGAGAATTCCCATTTTGTTGAGGTCATAAACTGACATAATTTAGATAGCTATTGATTGTGACCTCAATGAAACTCACTGATCTCAATCTCAATAATTATACTTCTCATTTTGTTTTGCTAGATTCTCACCAGCTGCTTACAACTTGTACATCTGTATCCTGTGCGGACTGTCTTGATAAAGTTGTATTTTCGCCAGTTTTATGTAGAGTAGATGAAATAATACTAGCACTGGAAGCCAGGATGAGCGTTTCTTCTTGTTTGGAACTCGTTAGTTGGATGCACCTGCCCAAAAATGCCTGTGACTTAATGACATTATCGAGGCTATCCGCATAGGATGCACATATCCCAAAAGAGACTGATCAAATGGAGTTTTAAGCATCATTGGGAAAATCCAAACAATCAGTATATATGAATTGCTAAACCCACTTTTCAAACCTAGTAAGAAAATTGAACTACTCAAATTACAATGGGAAAAGAATAAATTAATCGTATCAGTAAATAATCATAAAAAAACTGTAATGGTGTTCCAAATATTTTATATTAAATTCAATAATAACTTCATACAGTAATAAGCAAAGATGGATGGTGCCTAGCAGTGGAATTTAGGACGCGCGTTTCTTTTTATTTGGGACTCATCAGCTGGCTGTACCTGCATTCCACAATCTTCTTGAAATTCAGTGAATTAAAAACATGCGTAATTTATCAAAGTGAATTATTTCAATTTCAATACAGTGGTGGGAATCAACCAACTATATTATTTTGATGCTTGTAGTTTCTTCCTCTAGAGGATGAGTTACAGACTGAAGCCTGTTTAGTAAAGTCTGAAAAAATTTAAGACATAAATATCTTTGTATTAGTATCCTTTCGTCATTACTGGGTGAGTTTTAGAGGATTGTCAAGTTTTTTATTGATGACCGATATGAACCAGTAAATTAGTAAAACTATAGGAGTAGGATTCCATTCATGACACACAAATTGACAACAAGTACGATTACTAACTTCAGTATATTACTCTATTGAGCCGTAGGGAACTTAGGAAGATTGCATCTTTCTTGTGACTGGGAAGAAATATTTAGCAAATCTACGACTTTCATAGTTCACGTCACGTATTAATGTTGGTTAAATAGTCAATAAGAACTAGAATTCATTTGAAGCTGTTTCACCCTAGTATGGAACCCTCCATCCGCAACCATATTAGCGATCAAATTCAGGACCTTAGGTTTCACAGAGAATGGGAAATGACTTATTCCGATTTATCCAATTACAGAACAAATTGGTCAATAAGATATTCCAAACCACGTACTAATATGAATCGAAATCTGGGGTAGAAACATTATCAAACTAACAAACTGTTTACAATGCTTTTTTTATTTAATTGCATTATATCAATGACCTTCACTCATCTAAGATCAAAGTACGTTGGTTTATATCTACTTAACTGACCGCTAATGGAGTTTGGCTTATCAGTAAAGCACTAAATGAATATAATTTACCCAGAAAGAATCTTTGACCTGAGCTTAGTTTACCAAGTTAAATTCAGAAGGTGAGGGGTTTGGGTTTTGCTTGCGTATGTATCACTTCTTCATATCCGTAAACGTCAAATAACAGTTAAGAAGTAACAGTTCTAATTAGTCTTCTACAAAAGATATTGTTTAATTTTGCAATCTGTTAGCTGAATCATCTTTTTAATTCTGACAGACGAGAAGGCATAAGTAGTAATGAAAAAAATTAGTACAAAGAAAATAAAACTGTTGAAAATACCCTAACTCAACAAACGCCGACTAAAATGTTAATATATGAAACAATACTTCGACTTAAATATCTCTATACCTATACTCAGAGAATGAGAGACGGGGAAGAACAGAAGATCTTCACAAAAGACGGTAAACAATTAAGGGGAAAGAAGAAAGTGTTTGCATAAATATCTGTCACTAGTTATTAATCAATAAAGAGATAGACTTACAAGACTAAAGCTAAATTAGTAAATAAAGTCAGAATTTTGAAGTTTCATGGTTGGATTTATGTCAATAATCCTGTTTTTGCACAGGATTAGATGGAGGATGTCATAAACTTCCTGAAATTTCGATATCTAAGTTGTATTGCAATCAAAATACATTGAAATACATCCAATCTATCAGTTTCATCACTGAAGATCAATTGCTCATGGGGTTAGAGCAAAACAATGAACGGGAATTCTAAAGTACATGAAGACAATAAAGTCCTAGAAGACATGCATTAACACAGGTAAATGGAACGAACTGACACAACACTTGTGTGCTTATATTAAAAAGCTCATTTCCATTTGAAATAGACGCTGGTAATTTTATGCAGGATGAAAGTGTAAGCTTCGAAGTTAAATTATCCAGCTCAGAGGATACATAATCATCAAAAACTGCACGGATACGGGAATATATTTCAGCATGGCAGTCCTGTCTTTGAACATTGAGTCGGCTTTAATTACTTCACTGATTCACATGTTGATTTTAAAGTACATGAGATTTGTCTAAATCTACGAAGATTTCTTAGTGTTTGACTCCGTAAACCAGCATAAGCTCTTGCCATCCTTGAAAGGAAGCCATAATTCTGTGTACAAAAGAAGTACTTTTCTTTGTCATTACCGTAACCTTAAATCATTATTACTTAATTCCATTCCATTGACTTCAAATTCGGAAATATCACTCTTCATTTCATTATTCTTCATATTTCCATAAATTATCTATAATTGTTTTTAACATCACTTCATTTCATTTAGCTTCTCTAATATCTTCAACTGTTGTGACAAGAAGCATATTAATCATCATGCTCTGTTTACATTATAATCCACTGTTAGCTGATTATTTTTACAGGCCTGGTAACAAATCCTTTGAAATGATATCTTTTCGCTAAATTTCGTGTTTTTATTCAGAAATATTTACTTGTAAGATACTCTTCTCAAATAAGATTAGATTAGAAACCTGGTCGTGTTTCCGAAAAATCTAATAAAATCCATTCATGATCGACGACGGAAGACGGTCGTACAATTCATAGGGCGTCAATAACAAATAACAGTATAATTGAGCCCCAATACTTTCAACGAAGCAGTCATGAAAGTGGTGGAAATCTAGAGAAAAAGTGCACCAACTCGGAACAAATAAATATTGGATTAGTATTATCAGCGGAAGTAAGATAGGATGATGTTGGAACGTAGTTACTCAAGGTAAACATAACGTGAATGTAACTGACGCTAAGTCATATCGCTTAACTGTATTTTCCTCATGTATATTTGCCAATATGAGATATTGTTTTCAGTGGTTGATTAGCTAAAATCATTTCAATAAAGTCATTTTTATTCTTACCTCTGAAGAGTTAACCTAACTGAAGGAACTTTAAATTAATATATACTACTATCACATGATGAGTAGTATATTTCATTTGTTAAATTTTATTCCAATATTGAATCGTTAATCAGTCACTTGTATGTACACCAATCATCTCCAGTGTCCAATTTTTTAATTAAATTTGATTAGGAGAAAATTTTCACAATACCACCACCACCGCAACAAAAAATATGTCAACGATCGTACATTCACAAAAATGTATGACTGTTGGACACCAAAACAGAGAATTGTTTCGATAACTAGCTCAATCATATACATAAAGAGAGAGGGAAAGAACTACAAAGATGTTGAACAAAAGTATATGTCAAAAAAATGCAATCCACACAACTTGTCAACAAAGTAAAACGAAAAGCATTTAAAGAAAGTATATAGGGAAATATATCTCAGTAACAACCTTAAAAATTGTGGGCGGGTGATTTTATCTTGCTTTTTCTGCTTGAAGTTTACAAAATGAATTAAAAGTCAAGAATACTACCCTTTCATACTTTCGTAGTCATATATATATATATATATAAACAATTGTGCGAAGTAAACTACAGTCGTCAAAACACTGGAACATTGTTGTAGTTTTTGTTTTCAAAATTTCACTTCCATGTGGTGTAATTCATATATGAATGTGAGTATAGAAATTATTTTTATTAATTTCCAATTTAATGTTTGTGAATTAATTTCCTTAATGGATAGCTTTAATTTGTTTGAATATTATGCTTTTAATTATATCCTTCATTATATCATATTAATGTGTCGCTCAATTTGTGGATTAGTTGAAGTTAGACATTAACACCGTTGGATGCTGGCTCAATGGTCTAGCGGTTAAGCGCTCGCGTGCGGATCCCACGGGAGGCGGAGTCATGGGCGCCCACTGCTGAGGAGTCCCATACTAGGGCGAAACGGCCGTCCAGTGCTTCCAGGCCTTCCATGGTGGTCTAGCTTCGACTAACTCATGATCTCAACCACTTACACTATTTACTTATTTAAACACATAAACATTAGTATTAGGAGGCGCTAAAAGTATATGCTTCACATAAATCAAGTGATTTATGGGATACTTCCTGTATACCCAAACCGAAGCACGTGATTTTCTTGGGGGGGCACACCCCGAGCCTTCAACTTAAAGGTCTGACCCACAAGGTAGTGGAGCAACGTCAGGATATTCAGTCCTATGGTGGCCGGTGATCAACAATCGGTTCATACGCCATTTGTTCCCTTAGGATCCTGGAGCTAATGTACCCCATTAGTTTGAAATCAGGGTTTTTAAACTTCTTCAGGTTAATCCTCTCAATTTTGTACACAACACCCTCGCCACGAGAAGGCAGTGAGTAGGACTTCCCTGGTAGTGGTTGTATGCACGTGGCCACTTGAGAGTAGTTCGAGAGGGAGGGATGACTCTATTCACTTTGGCTGTACCAGGACATTTGGGGGCCTTATTAATTACAATTGAACTAACAATTTTGTTCATGAAACTCGTTTATAAATTTTAAATGAATCAATTATAACAAAGAAAGAACCATTTGTTAATTTACTGAGCATAATAGATGAACTTTGGGTGAAAAAACAACCCAAAAAATACAGTTCACAGACAAAGTTCTCCCTTCAACAATAGAGATCTTCATCATGGACAATAATGGGTTTCCTTTAATATTTAAAAATTAGATTCAAATGATCATGTCAGTCAGTCAGCTACAACGTAGGACCAGGTACATTGACGCATCGGTCCAAGTTGTCATACCTCATTAGCACAACAAGATGAACACCGAATTCATAAAAGTAGTCGCTTCATTGGTATTAATGTATCAAAGAAAGATTGTGTAATAGGATATAGTACAAGAAGAATGAATCAGTTAGTAGAAAGGAGGGTATAAAGCTATTTTAATCTCACTGTTTAAGGGAAGACACAGAATGTATATACCGACACCATGTCACCCACAGTCTCCAACCATTGGTTACAATAGTTACGCGGACCCCAACCAAGTAATCTGTATCTACCGACATGCCTCAGGCCAGAAGTCAGTGACTTCAAGGACTTCAATGATCATGTGCACTTAGAATATTCAATCAAAATGATAATAACGACTTAGACTGAATTATATTATCATTAAACGAATCATTAAGAATGAAAACAATAATGAGTAGTAGTTTCTACTTTCAATCAATATTGATTGATTATCATCAGTATCAGTGAAAATTGTTTCACCTTATGTAGGTTAAGTGTATGATATTATGAAGAAGAAAAAAACGAAACCACATTGAACCAATGTTATAAGATTGAAGTCAATTCATTCAAAGATGATATGATATATAGTGTGTGTTTATTTAGACTAGAGAATATTGTCTTAATACTACTGTCAAAATGGTTATAATCTGAAATAGGAATTATTATTTTGTTTAAAAATTTTCATAAACACCTTATTAAGTTTTTGTAAGTGACAATAAATACATTATGAACTGATTGAAATTAAACATGTAACCCATTGAATCCTGATTGAATGATCTGAAGGTTAAACGTTTACATGCGAAACTGAAAATCTTGAATTCGGTCTTTGATGGTGAGGTCATGCATTTGCATTGCTGAGGAATCCCATACTACGATGAAAACAGATGATTAGTACTTTTTCGTTTTCAGTGATTGTTTAGTTAAGATCAGTCCTTGACGAAACACAATTTTGCCTTGTCAGTAAGTGTATTAGATACATTTATCTGATTTCATAATTCTTATTAATCCATAGAAAACATGAAATTGACCAAAATTTTCTCTTTTCAGTTAGTTTATTTTCATGCTGTACAGAATCGCTTTGAAGGTTTAGTTCTATGACAAAATGTGAATAATAGCCATGATTAATCATGATAACATAATAGGATTGTTGAGTTTATTTTTAAGCCGTTAAGTTGTATGGCATTTATCAATATGGGATTGTGAAGATTATTGAGTTTTTGATCAGGATCATGAATCGATCAATGTTAGACCACCATCGAAAAACCGAAGCACTGGATGGCCGTTTCGCTCTAGTGTGGGGACCCTCATCAGTGTGCATCCACAGTTCCGTACGTGGGATCCGAACCTAAATCCGGTTTCGCGAGCGAACGCTTAGCCTCTAAACCACTGTGCCGAGATCCAACGGTGTTAATGTCTAACTCTAACCAATCCAGGAAATTGCGCGACCATCTTCCATTATTTGAGGTAGATACCTGTCTCTACTCGACACAGATTAGCTCCACTGGTCACGGCTTCTCACGAAAACTCTGAGAATCGCCCATCGAAGCTAGTCACTAGTGAGTATATGGTAATTATCAATATGGGGTTGTGGAGATGCTTGAGTTTTTGCCATTTGTTATATACATCAAATACATGTAATGATATTAAAATAGTTATCAGTTTCGCAAACTGGCACTTCCCAAACTATTAAATAGTGCAAATTGACATGAACCCATTACAGATATAATATCTGATTAATTTGTTCCACTTACGGAACGCTAAATGGTGTTTTACCTTCGAACAAATGAGCGATTTTTTGAAAATAAAATAATTCATAAAGTGTATCGAAAGCTAAACAGAATTACAGTATTTGAAGGACTAATTAAAAAGTAAACTAACTAATTGTTTCGACTTCATTCTAAACTTTTCATACACATAGTTCCCTTTATCATCTTGAAGAAAGTAAGAATAAATAATTTAGTAGAATAGCATGATTTCGTTCTGTTTTAGTTGGTCTTCATCAGCTGCTTACAACCTGGGATATTTAAAAATTATAACTTCAATATAGATTTAAACTACTTTCATGAACCAGTCTAACTGAAAATTACTTTGAACACACCTTATAGCATAACATGGGTGTAAACAAATTTGGTAAACTTGATAAAATATAAACATATACCTTATGTAAAAGAGCATTCTACATCATTGATTCTATCTAATGTCTAAAGGGTTAAAAACAAGTGGTTACGTAATGAGTAAACGGAGATAATAAGTAATTAAAATAAGATTACTAATCTGAAAAACAGTCGAAACATTAAAAAAATTCACAATAATGTAATTAATTCAAAGATAGAGTTGAACAAAATTTTATGATGCAATGATGGAATATTTGTCACTAAGGTAAGTAAAGATTAACAACCATCTCCTTTTGAATACATAAATCAGGTTTCTAACACCAGATAGCAATGGCCTCCGCAAACTTCAGTAGACTAGAGCTTGGTTATTTATAAATCACCTTGGAAGATTGCAAGGTGTTGACTTGACGTCCTGTAACAAAAATATGTTTAGTAATTGGGCTGTTTAAAGTAGTTCTTTCTCTAGTTATAAGACTTTTTGGAACATAATTAAGAAGTTTAGGAGTCAAAAAGAGTTAACAACAGCTCTGTAGCAGATATTTTATACTAGTGAGCGTCACAGTGTTAAACGCCGGTCATATACGCCATTTACTATTCAAGCATCCTTTATATGACAATTCAATATGTCCTATACATTAATAAAAAGATAATGAGATACTAACATAAGAACGAACAATTTTATTGAACAAATCCCATCATTCTGAGTAAAGCATTTCTCTGTTGGTAATGAGTATGCGAATCGTTTAATTTGAAATCAAAGTTAACAATGTATCATACCGTAAACTAGAATGATAGCAGAAAGATGAGCTTCATTTGGTGCAGCTACATTCAGTGTACTGCTCAATTTGTTTTCTGTTTCTTCGTGGGCGGTTGCTGAGAAAATTTCATGAACATTTAACAGGGCATCGTCTTTTTGTGAGCTGGATAAGCCATTGTTTGCACATTCTGTTTCGGGAATAATGGGGTTTGAATCCATTACCGGGTGTGTTTCTGAAATGGACATTACTGGACCACTGAGCGGATCTTGAATGACTGCTGTTTCATTTAAGTTACTGTTTGTCGAGGATTCATGGAGGCTACAATCATTTTCCAGCTCTGTGCGCAATTGAGAAATTAATTCATCCACTTCCGTCGCATCTCCAAAGCATGGGTGATTCCACAGCTGTGTGTGTAATTTGACTAAGAACTCCAACTATCGCTCAAATAGCAACTGTAATCGATCGGAAAGGAGAGTCATTATCTGAATCAGCACCGGTAATGAAAATTACTATATGACTAATCATTAAAGAGGAAGAATGTATTTGCAAAATCTCAGCAAAAGAATTTGAATTAAATCCAACGTTTCGCCTGGCAATCTGATCCAAGCTTTTTCAAGGAAATGATTATATTTAAAAAATCATGTCTAGCAACAAAAATCAAGACACATGTTTCATCCTATTTGAAAACTCACCAATTCGATTCATTTGTACTTTAGTGTTATTGTTTACAATGATACTTAAACCTAATGAGTATTATCTACCAAACTATTAGATCTTTATAATTACCTACATACTTCCCTGGAATATAAAGATCATGAAATGTCATAATAAGTAGCTAAAATTTTAGAAAAAGATTTTTACTTCTTCATTAATTAACATTTTCAAAAGTTTTTTTCTTCGCCTTATTTTTAACTGGATTTTATTATTATTTTTTTGGTTTGAAAATCTTTTATTACCAACTGTTCAGTTATGTTGTTTTCAATAGATACAACATAAATGTGACATTTTTCATGAAAAAGTAAAATTTGATGACTAGTTAGTGTGCTATTTCCCCTTCCCCCCCCCCACCTCTAATTACCAGGTACATTTCTCTACTAGATAAAAATGGAAAGCTTAAACTATTCTGATTGTTTTTCTTTTCTTTTTTAAGTTTTTTTTACGAAAAAAAAACAACAAAACAACATCATCCTTGTCATGAGCATCATTGTCAATTTCATCATGGTATATGTCATTATTATCTATTGAAGTCAACTAAATAATTGAATATTGATCTATAGAATGTATTTAAACAAACTAACATGAACAACAACAGCAACAAAAAAAATGTCGCCAAACAATAAAAACTGCCTAATGTGACACAAATTTGTTCTGTTTTTTTTTAAATAAAAAAGGGTATAAGTAAATTAGTGAAAAAAAAACTGAAAATAATTTAGCCACGTTGTTTTACTTATATCTCCGTTAATGGAAGGAGCGAAATAAATTTTGAAAAAAAAGGAAGTGAAATGACTTGAATTTATCTTTGTTTTGTTGGGGTTTTTTTGTTTAAAATTTATCAAGTGACAATCATAGACATGCATACAAACACATAATATAATGCGTACTAAATGAACTTTGAATGGTGACAACAAATGGATCAAAAGATATATTAAGTTATATATTTAGTAACATCAAAACAACAATCACAGCAGCAACAACTGATGTTTCTTCCTCAAAATGTTTTTTTGTTGTTGTTGTTGTTGCAGGAATTGAGACTAATATCTATTTATGTGTATTTCACTACAATAATTGATAATGTTAAATTATAAATTTAATAAATATATCATTAATGACAGATGTTGAACATAAATATTATTCAGTATAAAACCGCATATTGTCACTATGATGCCCAAAAAAATTTAGTCTAAACAACAACAAAAATTGTGATATTGACTAAAATACATGTAGATAATTGTTATATATTGTGACCGCCGATTAGAGAGGAGTGACTTATCGATCGGAACAATGACGCGTAAACCCGTATGAACAGCTTTGAGTTCTGATTGACCCTGCTTTTCGCCTAGTCCAGCCAGTTAAGTCCAGAACATAAGTCTCAGCCTCTGCGATATGAATCATTGTATTTCAAACATACTCTGTTTATATACCAATCAAGCAGACCACATTGTACCATAAAATAGAAAATAACATTTGTAGAATATTTGGCCAAGAGGAAAATAACACGTGAAATAAGTATTGACCAATAGGAGAATGATACCATCTCTAGTCCAAGAATAGCATTAGACTTAACAGAATAATTTTTGAGATATTTTTCTGAATATCCCAACAATAATAGACAAAATGATTATTGCCAGTAAAGAAACAGTGATATCTATGTCTTCATTTTTAAGTGTTAACATTTTTAGTTAACAAAAGATATGAGAAATATGGCCTATCCAATGATTTTACTACTTCTCAAAAGATGTGTTTTTTCTTTGTGTTAAAACACGTGGATCATGAAGTTTCAAATCCAGGTTTCGTGGTTGTTATCATGTGTGAAGGCATCGATTTTAATCAGACGTGGGGTAATTGATGTTCAGTACCGAAAAGAAAATAAGTGTCAACCATTGAGTGGTTTTAGTTGTTCTTTAAATGTTCACAGCATTGATGTTAAAGGTTGAGATTATTCAGTTGTTGATAAATAGTGCTAATTTTTGACCGGTCTTTGGTCATTTGCTGACTGCGTTGATATAGCCCTTTTATCATAGGTTTTTTATAGAATGGAATGATCATTCTTGGCAGTGGCATTCGGGAAGTACATTTTGTCCTGTTAAAAAGCCACCATACAGTATTCTGGACTGATCATATTTTTGAATAGTGTATTGGAGTGGTAACCAGCATACAATTTTAGTTTAGCTTCGAGGCTCTCAAGCTGAACTCAGTTGTATTTCAATGTTGTTGTTCAATTGATACTTTAACCCAGTGAATAATATCCATTAGCTCTACCTATTCCTAATAGATTACAATTCTAATGTGAACAACGACAACGCTTAGATACATGTGCATCCAATCGACAGGTCATATGTAAGATGAAACCTTCGTGTCAGAGTCAGCTGCTAACCACAGTGCATCTAATCTATTTCAGTATGTTAAGATAAATGCAACTAACTCTAGTACATCTTCGTAACTCATTTATCCCCTATTATTTAGTTGATTAGATTAATAATAATAATGCTTGAATAATTAATACTTGATGAAATTTAAAGAAAATGGAAGCATTAAGAATTTGTTGATTAGATCCTTTCATAATCATCGGACGGATAATTTTTATCCAAAATTGAAAATGGGAAATTCAACTTTAATTAATTTAAACAGTTGAGATCATCAGTCAATTGAAGCTAGACCACCATGGAAAACGTGGAAGCACTGGACGGCAGTTTCGTCCTAGTATGGGACTCCTTAGTAATGCGCGTCTACGAAAGGTTTCACATGATCACATCATTGGGTTCCGCCCCAACTATCTACATGTTAAAAGTTCGCCCGCGAGACCGTAGGTCCTGGATTCGAATTCCGCGTGTGGGGTTACGGATGCGCACTGCCAAGGAGTCTCATATTAGGACGAAACGGCCGTCCAGTAATTCTAAGTTTTTAATGGTGGTCTAGCTTCAGTTGACTCACGATCTCAACTATTAATTTACATAATAACTGTCGATTTTATTTTTTAAAATGTGTAATAAATACTTCTAGCTTGTAGCAAGAATGTTTATTCATTTTCTAAATAACTTGAGGTTTAGATGGTTAATGTTTCAATGTTTAAACCAGGTATCATAATATAATTTTATGTAAGTAGTTGGAAAACCTCATTTCTCTATAGTATGAGTGATTGAATTAGGTGTATATCTAACTAACATTTGATCGAATAATATACATCATACATACATCATATCTGTTAGAATGGACTAATAACATGAGATTATGTTCTAACACAGTATGAATTTAGTGAGGTATCATTTGAGTTTTTAATTCATTTAGTTGCTTAGTACAAAATTCATTCTAATTTATTGTGATAATTCATTCAATATAATACTGATTTTATTCCAGTATAACATTCTTTGTATTAGTTTAGTATAAACTTCATTCAGTATAATATACAACATGGAATTTGTAGTCATTCTCTGTAACATTCATTTTTATATCTTCTCAATGTAGGATATTTAATAATCAGTCATCAGATTTGAGTAAGATCACTAAAGAAATGAGTTTAATTGATCAAAAAGGGTTATCTTTTAATGCTTCTATCATTAATTTTGACTTCAACTTTAAGTCTTTCAAGATCACAGCATTTCTCAATGTTCTGTGTCCAATTTGTACAGTTATAACAACGTTCGAACATTACTTAGCGATTAACTTTGTTCACATAATCAATTAACTCCTTTTAATCGATTAGATCAGACCAATTTTTTTCTCATGATTTTATTTCTTCATTCTTTTCAGGCATTAGGTTTTATGGAAAGTCGAAATCATCAATGTATTCTATGTAAATGTAATAGTTTTACACCATGTACAACTAGTCTTCGATATTGTTCTAAATGTAACCATTCATGGACATTTCATGGTAAGTTGAAATGACAAGTTTTTTTAGATTGTTTTTTTTTATTACACAGGTCAACCTACTGTGATTTAATTTGAATGAGTCTTAACCACTCATCAAACAACTAGTCATGATGATAGAGGTTGAAGGCTTCCAGTTTAAAGCAGTTAGCTGTGAAGTACTTGAGAAGAGATTAGGCACAGGTAACATATAATAACGTTAAATGGTCAATAATATACGCATAAATAGGTCGTGTTTGCAAAAGAGATCAGATGTCCTGAGTTTGATTCCTGATGGGAGGCTATGGATATTGACTGCCAAGACGTCTTTTACCAGGAAAAAACTGATTTCTAGTGTTTCTCGACCTTCAATAGTCCATGAACTAAGCTCAATTAATAATGTTAACTAAGAAAAATTACAATGTTACGAAATTATTGGAGACTGTATTTTTTTCCTTACAAAAGTGAATAAGTTTATCTACTGTCGATAAATCTGAAGATAGAATTTTTATAATGCCATTTTAGGACGGTAAATCTACGACACACACATACATACGAACAGCTTGATGAAATCATTGTTGTCAATGCTTATGATAAAATATCAAACATTTAAGACATTTATTTCCAAGAATCTATCAGTGCAATTAAGTAACTATACTCAGTGCTTATCAATTCATTCTATCACTCTTATCTAATTGCATTTTGGACACAGAAAATACTAGTCATAATGTTTGCTAATTAATCAGTTATTTATCATGAATTGAATAGTTTAATCTTACCTATAAAAATTTTTGCTCTGGTTGTTAGAAGGGGCATCGGCCTCGTGGCTTCCGAAGGAACTCGGCTTTCACCATGAAGCGTCATAATTCTTCTAAATGAAGACCTTCTAACTCCCAGGGCAGAGTTAAAATGGTTTGAATTATTTTTTTCTGGTAAGCGTTTTTTTAGCGAGTTAGTTTTCTACGGGATGAGGACGCTAACCCCATACCCAACCCTCCTCCTTTACCGGGGCTTGGGACCGGCAGTAACTCTAGAAGAGCTACAGCCGGAGTTGAAAAGTTTAATCACTGATCTGATACCCTGGTAGAAAGAATATGAACACAGTAAATAAATACAAATCTTATACAATCAAGCATATTGTTATATCCCGATAAGAATAATGAGTGGTAATTCTTGGGATCCATTTATGGGCCAATACTATGAATATATTTTTATCGTATAATTGTTATGTAACTAAACTGTTCATATTCATGTCCCTCTTATTATGAGTTTTATTTTGACCTGATGAACTATTATTATACGATTTACCATTCTTGAATTATTCCCTATCTGTTAATCACTACCTCCCTCATTCACAGCCACTTCTGGCTAAATCTTGTACAAATTTTGTTTCATATTTTATGGTACGTTGTGGTCTGTCTGGTTGATATATTAACCGAGTATGTTTGGAATAAATGATTCATATTGCAGAGGCTGGGATTGGTGTTCTGGACTTAATTGGCTGAGCTGGACAGGGAGTGAGACCAATCAGGACTCTAGGCTGCTCGCACGTGTTTATGCGCTACTGGTTCGATCGATAATTCACTGCTCTCTATTTGGCGGTGTCGTTGCGTTATACAGTGACAGGGCACACAGATTCACAAATCATAACACATATAACAGTAAACTATAAATAAAGTTAGCATAAACTCTGAATATTTTTGAAATCCTATTATCATCTTTCAATGTGTATTTGTGATTGTGAAGTTGCTTAAGATTACAGTTAATTTATGATATACTGGTAAACTTATTTAAAAACACTGGAAATGATAGTTATACATTTAGTAGAGATTCGATTATTTTCATCCACAGTAAGTTATACCAAGCTTCTAGTCTTCTAAGTCAGCACTCCAATTAGCTAATTAAGCTGATTGACTTAAAACAGAAGTCATATAAATGCATTGAATTGTTTAACATTCAACATAATTTGTGTAATCATTTGAGTTTTTCTTTTGTTAATACAAATGGAATACATTTGAATAATGTCGTATGGCAAGTTCAGAACAAGATGGAAATTGTAGTCATGATTTTCAGTTCTAGGGACCATTCATTTTTTATATAACTTGTAAACAAAAGGGATATAGAGGCAAACTTCACAGTATTCATATATTTTCATGGTATCCTTAATATAGCCAATAACAACAGTCAGTCAGTCAGCTACAACGTAGGACCAGGCACATATGTGCATCGGTCCAGGTTGCCATACCGCATCAGCACAACAAGATGAACACCGGATTCATAGCAGTGGTTAGGTCAAAGGTAGTAATATGTAAGAGAAAGATTGCATATAGAGATATAGTACAAGAAGAAAGAATTGGTTCGTAGAAAGAAAGATATGAAGCGATTTTAATCTCTTAGTTTAAGGGAAGACAGGGAGTGTATACACCGACGCCATTGTGATCGATTCTGAGCCATGTCACCAAGAGTCTCTAACCATTGGTTACGAAAGTCACGCGGACCCCAACCAAGTAGTCTGCATCTACCAACATGGCTCAGACTAGAAGTTAGTGACTTCAAGCACTGATGCCACGTTTTGGTTTGGCCGCCCCTAACTTTCTTCCAACCATCTCCAATACCGGATAGCATTGCACGTCGCGGTAGTCGATGTTCAGGCATACGTAACACGTGGCCCAACCATCTCAATCGATGAAGATTCATGACCTCATCAACTGATTTACCATCATTCCCTAATACCCTGCGTCTAACCTCACTATTACTTACCCGATGATCCCAGCAGATGCCAGCCAACAACAACAACACAAGAAAATCTCATAGCTGGTGAGCAAGTTATTGGCTATCTGAACTCACTATCTCAGTAGATAGAATATCGATGTTTGAATCAAATGATATTAAGTTCTAGTTTGAGTGAGATCATCAACACTGGGATATAGGTATATCCACTTGGTAAGTAACGAATAGAATAAAATGCATGACTTCTAGTAAGTATAATTCATTGTTACTTACTTACTTACTTACGCCTGTTACTCCTAATGGAGCATAGGCCACCGACCAGCATTCTTCAACCCATTCATTGTTACCTGTTGTATTTTTTTATTATTTTTTAACAGCAATAAAAAATTTTGTAATTTATATCAATCATTTCAATGAGCAATTCATATCAACATCATCAACTAGTCTATTACACATTTTTATGATTCTATGCCAATTAACAAATTTAATTCTTTGTGGTTGTCAATTAATTCCAATTCGAATGAAGTTTTTATTGGATCATTTCAATAAGATTTATTTAACAAAATATCAATTTGAACAAATTTTGAAAATATTTGGTTGGTCTTTAATAGACTATACACGTGGTTACATGATAAATGTAAGTTATTGTTTAGTATATATATACATATATTGTGGTGCGTGTTACTTATATTGATATAAGTAGTATATAGCGCGAGTCAGGAATGTAATGTCTGGCAGCAGAAGATTGGGAAGATCAAGAAAGGAAGAGAGGGAATAGAAAGCAATTAGTATGGAAATGCAAGAACAACGAAGTTCGAGACAATTATTGAACATTTTGCAAATTAAGTATTATAGTATGGTTTTTTCTATTTTACCAAGTAACTCTGTAATTGTGTGGTAAGTATGACTCGGTTGTTCTCACCTGCGTTCTCCTTCACTACAATATATTTGTAATATCCTAATGAGTAGAAAAATTAGATTTTCCGCGTTTCATGACTTAGTTTAAGCCACTTCTTCAGAGAATACATTACCATTGATGTTTAAGACTGCAATCGATCATCATCAGTTTGATAATAAAGAAGTGTCTTACACAAAGTCATGAAACGTCAGAAAATCTAATTTTTCTACTCACTGGAATATTACAAATGGATTATTAATTAATTAATTGTTTTCTTATCTGTTGTTGTTGTTGTTTCGTTTCTCTATAGAATCCTAAACAATCCATATTGAATATGTGTACACCTGATGAAGAGTATATAATTTTGAAACAAATTAGAAATTTACCAAATTTGAAATTATTGGCTGATAATTTATTAAAAACTATTCAACTTGATCTTATTCAAGAGATAAATATAACAAATATGAATATTATACAAGATAAAGATTTATGCAAAGTTCCAGTGTCTTCTGTATCATTCTTGAATAATAATAATAATGACAATAATAATAATTCAACATTTCAATTGTTACCTCAACAGATTACGTCAAACAAAATATCATCGAATTCCAGAATATTCAATTCCTACTTTTTGTCAAATCAAAGTTTAATTAATCACAGTAATGATTCAACATTTATTCAATGTTTAAATGATACATTTGACAATTTAATTAATAATAATAATAATAATAATAATAATAATAATAATAATAATAATAATGGTCATGATAAGTTTTCGTCGGTAGTCAGTTCAATTCCTGGTGATAATGCTCGCTCAGTTAGTCAGATTCCTGATGGTGATAATGATGATGATGATGATGATGATGATCAGATCAACTTGCCACAACATAATCAATTTAAAAGACAAGAAATATTGAATATGAAAAATGAAGTATTCAGTGTAAATCCTGAACTTTTATTGAAATGGATTAGTAAATTTCCATTGAATATGTTAAGCTATCAAAATCAAACTGAAAGATTAATTAATCAAATAAAAAATCTTAGAAATATTATTCCTACTTATTGGACAGATAGTCTTAGCAAAGAAGGTAATTTAAGATTTTTAATTTTTTTTTTTGAAAAACGTTTTTTGGTAGCGAAGGAAACTGTCAGTAACCTTTTCATCGATTGCCTTCAATGCAAAAAACGTTTATTTGTACGAATCTATGTCAGTTTAATGTAGTCGAAAGGAAATTCAGATTTTAAGTTTCTTGCAATCAAACACTCATCAGTAAGGAGTAACTGAGTGATATGTTAAACTGTTCAAGTCTCACAAAGTGGATAGGTTTCCTCACAATTCCAGGTACACCTTGACGAGTGATAACTATCACAAAACTAAGTTCACAGTTTCCTACTGACTATGTTCAACTATTTAATTTCAAGACAAAGTGAACGTGATGTTGAATTGCTTAGAATGATGATGATCATATTATAATTTGTTCTATAGAATCTGGTCAAAATTAGGGACAAGATAAATGTATTATTGGTTACTACTGAGTAACCAATCAATATACACAACTATATTCTACATTTATTTCGTACTTTTTTTATATGGTATTGGTTAATTTAAACCTTTCCTTGAATATTTAACTTAGTTATCTGAATTAGTTATTACAATCTTATTTATATTGGATATTCGTCTACACTGACTTTGTATGTTAGGTATAGCGTTGTTTTAAACATTAGTACAATAACGAAGTGACCAGTCCTTATTGATCTTCAGAGTAGTTTATTCCTGACTCTCTTAAAGTTAATTCATTCTAGACCTTGACTATTTGGTTGTTTATTTCTTATTGTAAAATTTTCTGACATTTTTCTCCATGTAACCATGTTCTATAAATTTTATTATTCAACTAAGCGCTCTCATTAGATACTGAATTCACATATTTAGACTTAATGAGGTACTCAAAAGTGTTGAGTTCCATTTTCGTGACACTGTGTAATGGACCAAGGGAAAATAAATAACAAAAAAGAAAATCAAAAATGGAATATTAGTACACACTGAAGTAGTTTTAAGATTTAATGGCCCGAGATCTAACTCCAGTTAGATGGTATGATTGATTGCTGTCGAAATATACATCCTGACTATCCTCATATCTGATCATCGACTTAAATCGCGTTGGTGAATAACGGGATTAAATAAGTCAAATACGAGAATTGATCTCGAATACGCATATTTTGTACACTCATTGATCTGGGAAGACAATCGGAGAATCTCAGCAAATGAAGCGACGAAGAGAAAGAAAAGTGAAACGAAAGGACGCTCAGTAGAGAAGACGTGTGAACCAACTCCATTTAGTTAAACGTCAATCAATACTTATAATCACACAAAAACAAGCTACAGACATGTGATGAATAGGATAAGAAGTATACACACATATGTGCGCTCATATGAAAACAGTCAAGAATGATAAGCGAATAATTAACAAGGTCAAAATATGACTCAAGTAGAATGACTAGATTGGCCTGTCCGAAAGCTAGAATAAGGTATATAGGCTTAACATAGTAACCAACACTACAAGGCGTTAATAACGTGACAATGGTTCAAAGTTGTTAATTAGTAAAATGTTCCAGGTTATCAAAAATTTCATCATTTCAAATTTATCATTTCTGAATACTACAATTTTGGCCATATATTTAACAAATCATAGTAGACTGATTTAACTATAAAGAAGTACCAATAGAGCTATTGGTGAACTTGGAGAATGTTAATGAGAATGAGAGATTAGTTTAGAAGGATAAAGTATTTGAGCGGTGGTCGGTCAATGAAAGCATTATATTCTCATTGTAAAAGTGACATTACAGTTTTAAACAAAATATTTTACAATCAATAATAAAAGATTTATATAGTGGACAAGATTTTAAAGATTACAACATTAACATAATCTTTATTAGCTCATTAAGTTTCTTTCTAAATAATTTCCACAATGATGATTAACAAGGAATCAGTTCCGAAGTAACCTGACAAACTTATGAAGTATTCTTTGATTTCTTATAGTTTACGAGTTGTTATCAATGGATCTTTAAAATTATCATCGAGTTCATTAACATAATTTTTTCCAGTAATTCAGCAAAGTCCTGTAGATAAATGTGTTGTGACTTTAAGTCCAGCTAGTTATCACGTAATTTGTTCGTCAATCGAAATACGACTTATTCACTCTTGTACTATACTAAACCAATGACGTCCAACCGGTCTGATCAGCCTGGAGTCCTATTGGTCCGTTGCTCACCTGGCCTGTCCAGCTGAGTTCAGAATGCCAACAACAGCCTCCACTATGCGAATCATTTATTTCAGACATACTTGGTTTTTATACTAGCCAAACAGACCTCATCGCACCATAAAATAGGAAATAACATTTATGCACAATAAAGCCAAAAAGTGGCTGTGAACATGGGAGACAGTAATTAATAAACTGAGTATTACTTAAGAACGGTAAATCGTATAATAATAATAATAATAATCTATAGATCAAAATGAAGCTTATCATAAGAGGAATATAAATATACATAATCTAGTTACTGAACAGTTATAAAATAAGAATATATATATAACAGTTTATCAACAAGCAAAAACGGGACCATGAGCAAACAATATGGAAACCGTTGCATTTAAACAAGGATTAAGTGATAATACAAAAACTGAGAACAACTGCTACAGGGGCTGAAATAAATAAGTTCATATAATAAATACAATAAATGTGATAAGTATTTGTAAACATTTAAGAAGATTGCACGACAAACTTGGGTCACAGCATACACATAAAAATTGTTAGGTGTACAACTATTTACTGAATAATAATAAGTAGTATAAAACATAATACACAAAGAGTTGAAGCGAAGAGAATAAGAACGGAGAGCGTCAGCCAACTTAACACAAGGTATTGTATGTTTTCTTTTGGTTATTTGTGTCTTCTTTTTCTGCCTGATTTAAGGATTTACATTACATTTGATTGAATCATCATTAGTACTCTGGATTTACTATGATATCTATGAAGAATTTGGCACAATATATCTTTAAAGCAATTAGTCCCTGTGATAAATTTCTATAATATAATAAGATGAAGATTATCAAAACTATGTGAAGCCTTAGCCATGCGAAAATTCAAACCTCCTTTGTGTATTCAAAAACAGTTTGTCCTCACCTTAAACCTACCCTGGTAATATTGACTTATTATCCAGAGTGATAAGGTTTCAAATTGTGTTCACATTATTATTATTACACTTATTATTATCCTTGTCTACTCTTACCCCATTTCCAGTCTAGTTGACCTTTTATTTTTATATATAAATGGTCTTAACAATTATATGTGTGGTCAGATTGTTCGAAATGTATTGCACTAATATATTACATAATTCTGATAATCTTCGTCTTCTTATTACATTATCGAAAGAATATATCTTGTTTTTGATTGACATCATGAACCGATTGATGTTAGACCACCGTTGGAAACCTGGAAGTACTGGACGGCCATTTCGTCCTATTTTGAGACTCTCCAGAAGAATATCCCATTATTTATGCTCATATTCATTTAATCTTACTGGATAAATGATCTACACTATTGATTTTAAAGAGAGCAAGAACAAAGATTGGTGCAGAATAATATGATTTCATTTTATTTCGTTAGGTTCTCATCAACTGCTTACAACCTAAATTATTTAAAATTCAGAATTATTACAGATATTGACATATTTATACATAAGAGGGTGATGAAAGATGAATAAATGTATAATGGTGTAGCGAAGATTCCGATAGAGTTAATGGGGTTCGGAACACTGAAATAGTGATTAGAACTCATGAAAATAGATTAATGGTAATAAAGAAAATATGAATTGAAATCAGTCAGTTATGTATGATGTAATTTAAAAGAGTTGGGGTAATGACGCAATAAATAAATAGAGAAATAAATGAATAAAAAAGGGGGTTATTGTTACCAGGGTAAAGAAAGATTTATTACTGTCTCTTTTTGTATACATAGATCTGGTTTTAAACGTTTGATTGCTATTGCTTTGGAAATTTTCAAAAGATTGGAGTTTGATTGTTTGTTAATCACCTTGAAGGGCTTCAGTATATCAACTTCATGTCTTGTGTCAAGGAGATGTCTTACGATGGCACTGCTGGATGCTTTTAATCCATTTAATCTTAAACTTTTCGGAATATGTTCTTTGAATTGGACGTAGGCTCTCCTTTCTGTTCTACCAATATAACTGCTTTGGCAGATACATATAAATTTGGTTTTAATTGATAAACTTCTATATTTTAAGTTCATTAATAACTTTTATTTAAAATTATTAGCTAGACATATTTATTCAGATCAATTTCAACAATCTAATGGTGTTTCAAGTCAAGAAATTATACAGAATATACAAGTAATAACTACTGAATATGCTTATGATCATTATTCTTTGAAATATCCATATACTCCAATTACAATAAATCAAACTTTAATAAGGAGTAATAAATTTGAACAAAGAAATAAGAAACGTGTTATGTGTCCAAATTGTAGGAAAACATTCTGTGATAAAGGTAAATTTACTTATTGCTGTTCTTCTATTGTATAATTGATTTACTGATTAACAATGGTAAGTGGTTTTAGTTAGACAAATATAGAAAACTAGGAACCTTTGGATTTCTGTTTTTGTCTTAATGTAGGACCTTTCAGCAGTAATTATCCTGATCTCATCAAGAATGGAACGTAAGAACCTCAAATCAATTGGTTGATATCCAATAGTTTATATTTTTAATTTAACTCTGTTAACTACATTACACTATCCGCATTCTTTACCACTACTGTTATTTGTCATACACCATAGTTAATTCAAAAAATGGATTGAACAAAATGATAGTCGTCATATTATAGGAAACTAGTGAATTACAATATGAATATCAATCTTGTGATTCAGTTACTATCTGACTGAAGAGTCCGAAATCGGACGAAACATATGGAGTATTTTCAATTTCATTGTTATTCAATACCAGTGAAATAATCTTTTATCGTGAACTGACAGTAACTAAAACAGAATGTAAAGCATATTTTGACAAACTGTAAACATTTTTAATGGGTTATATGCACTGTCTATGCATTATATATTAATATCTTTAAATGGAAGTAAAATCTGACAGTTATGGTCTTTTATACATAAAACTGTTTCATCATTCTAAATTACAAGCTAGTTTAAACAATCTATGATGATGTCAGAAATTTGTTCTTTGTGAATATGCTGATCAAGTGTTTATTAAACGTTTTAAATCAAGGATTGTCATATGTGTAATTAATATTAATGTTAAGACGATGATCAAATAAAAAATATTTTTAGTATGGGGATTTGTGGAGATTGTAGTATTTTAACAGATGAATTCATGAGTCAACCTAAGCTAGACCAGCATTGAAAGCCTGGAATCACTGGACGACCATTTTGTTCTAGTATGGAACGCCTCAGCAGCGCGCATTGACGATCCCGCACACGGAACTCTAACCTAAGACCTTCGACCTTATGCTCGAACGCTTGACCTCTAGCCCACTGGACTGGGATCCAACCGTGGTAATATCTAACTTCAATCGATTCATGATCTTGAGCAACCCTTCATCCATTGTCTGAGATGGATAACCGTCTCATACCCAACACGGATTGGGCTCCATTGATCACGGCTTCTCAATAGAACTTCAAGAAATCCATGTTGAAACTAGTCCACAGTGATCATAACCGGGGAAAACAGAAACTGTAGGTTGCTCACTAGTCAATCAAATAAAGACCTAAATTTTAGTACATCATTTCAGGTTGCCATACCACATTAGCGTTTTCTAGCAAGTTAGTTTTCTACGGTATGGGGTCGCTAACCCCGTGCCTAACCCTCCTCCTTTATCCGGACTTGGGACCGGCAGTAGCCCCAGGGACTCCAGGCGGAGTTATACCACATCAGTACAAAAACACAATTGTCGATTCAAATCCCATAGCCGTATGGGTAGTAAAAGTATAAGCAGAATTCGTAATGATTAGGGTTTGATGACGTTATTCAAGGAGTATAGTCCAGTGAAACAAATTTGGAAAGAGAAAAAAAGGGGGGAGAATTCAGAAGATTAGAATTTGGGAGAACATAAAGAGTAGATGAACCTGCGCTATTGCAAACGATTTCGAGCCATGTCATTCAACGTCTCTAACCATCGGTTTTTATCGTCTCGCGAGTCTCGACCAAATAGTTTACATCTTAGTGATTAGCTGCTGTAAAGATTAAAAATACTTGTAAAGTTTCAGCTACCTAAAAATCAGTCAATAGTAATACTTACGTACTAAAAAAATTGTTCATCTTTTTCAAGACGTTTTACTGTTGTTATATTTTTTTCTCTTCATATTTTAATAGGAGCACTTAAAATTCATCATAGTGCAGTTCATTTGAAAGAAATGCATAAATGTACTATAAATGGATGTAATATGTGGTTTAGTTCAAGACGAAGCCGTAATCGTCATTCAGCTAATCCTAATCCACGTTTACACATATTACATATGAATAGAAATAATGAAAATCACAATAATGTTGTAAATTAAATTATGTATGTCTTCATCTTCTTTTTTTTTCCTTTTAACTTAAGAATTCCAAGTTACAGTTTGCTTTGTGAATGAGAACACAAATGGGGAGCAATCTAACACAAAATTACAGAACACCTTACTAATATCTGAGCACTATACACTAAATACTTCATTTGCAAAATATCAATCAATTGTCTCATACTTGACTGTTCCGTTTACATATATCCGTCAATCGTCTCAGATTTCATTGTTCATACATTTTCATACTAATTGCTTTCTGTTCCTATGCTTTCCTTCTCAACCTTCTACTGCCAGACATTCTAATCCTGACTATCGTTATATAATACTCATGTCGATAATAAGTAGCATACACTACATGTTCACAATATGAATATAATAGAATAATGAATTTTCTTTCATTTTTTTATTTATAATAAATATTATTATGTAATTGACAGATCGGTTTTTGTACTTAATTTGATCAAATTAAAAGTGAATTGTAATACAGTTGGTTGTGCTATAATCTATATGGGTATAAGTAAGCTCCGATCATCGTAGAGCCTAGCACATGTATATATCTATTCATATTATCTGACTTAATACCAGCTTAAAGATGAAAAGCAAATTAACACGATAAGTAATAAAAGAAATCTAAGGATGAGAGGTATAATTTGAAAAAGACAAACACATTCAAAGAATAAACAATTTGAAGTGAATGAATGCTTATTATGGCTCTGTGACTAGTTTCTATACAGATCTTTTTTAAACCAAACTATCTTCAACTGTAAAGTGAAGTGAAGTGAAGTCAACCTATGGATTTGAATCAAGAAATTCACATCTATTAAGAATTGACTAAAATCTATGGTAGTGTTATGTCCCGTTAAGCATAATGAATAGTAACTTTTGGGATCCATTTATGGACCAATACTATGACTATATTTTTATCGTACAATTTTTAAATAACTAAACTATTCACATTCATATTTCTCTTATTATAAGCTTTATTTTGACCTATGAACCATTATTATACGTTTTACCATTCTTGAATTATTCCCTGTCTATTAATTACAACTTCCCACATTCACAGCCACATTTGGCCAAATCTTGTATAAATGTTGTTTCCTATTTTATTGGTAAGATATGGTCTGTCTGGTTGATACATAAACCGAGTACGTTCGAAATAAACGATTCATATCACAGAGGCTGAGATTTGTGTTCTGGACTTAACTGGCTGGGTTAGGAGGGAAGCAAGACCGATAAGAACTCTAGGTTGCTCGTACGTGTCTTATGCATCATTGGTCAAATCGATAATTCACTGTTCTCTAATTGGCGATATCATTACGTTATACATTAACAGGGTACATAGGCTACAAGTTATAACAGGTTGATATAAATCATATCTCATTGAATCAAATAACTTAATGAGATTGTTAAAAGGTATAGAAAAATTGTAACTTGTATTCCTAATAAATTTTACTTAGTAATTTGTACTGCTCTCATGTATATTCGTTGTGTTTAGTGAACTGATCTTCTGCTATACCATATTCTCTGTTAATATTAATTAGTATGGTAACAGTGAATATATTTGATATTTGTTAAAGGAACCAAATAAAACAGTATGATCGGTACATGAATTTTCAAATATAGATTTCATTAAGTAGAAAGAGAAACTATTTTGCTTCTTTAAATTCATTTGGTATTGTTTGGCTTGTATCTTCCTATTGAGGTTTAAGACTGCAACTGATCAGTCTGTTATTGGCATATGTGCATACTGTGCGTATGCCTCGATGTTGCCTTAATTCACAAGATTTTGTAAGCAATTATGGATAGTGGTTAACAGTGGAAACCAGGACGCGCGTTTCATCCTAATTGGGACTCGTCAGCTGGATTTACCTGCATCTTTTATCTTTTCTCTTTCGAGGATACAATAGACAATGAACAATTCCAACTTGGATAAATATTCATCTAATATGGTCGTCCTTTCAGGTTCATTGAAAAAGGAAACTGAAATCAAACTGCAACCTGACAGATTATCTATAGTCCAAAAGAAAACTCTCTTCATAAACATTGATTTTAAAGGGGATATTTTAACAAAGTGTTTGAGAAATTACATTGCTAAATTTTTGAGAAAAACATTTTGTCCTGTTTGAGCCTTGTATTACCTTCTACAGATTAGTTAACACTCATGAATGTGCCAAAGTTAGAACTCGGCTTTGGGCCAGAGCAGTGGGGATTTATAAGTTTACTTTCTCTTGTGGAGCAGGTTGTATTATGCATACAAAGCGGATAATTTCCAAACACATCTTAGAACATCACTTGAGATGGCTTTCAAAAGAAGAATGGAAAATCAGTTCAATATAGGAAAATCTCATCAACCTTGCATATGTTGGTTAACTGTAATCGTCCCTCAAATAATCTAACGGGTCAGACGAGTGGAATCAAAGGGAGGTTAAATAAAAACACTTATGAGCTATAGAGGCTTTGTCTACTCAACAAATCAAGCCTGAACTCTGTGTTCATAATTAACTAGTAAAGTTTCTAGTTTTTCTCTGGTTCTAACAACCCTTACAGGATGTTTTTTTATTATTATGCTTTACCTCATTAATCAGTAATTAGTGGTTATTACCTTCATAAAACCCTTTCTAATTATTATTCGCTTGTCATTATCATCCCTGTAACTTTCATTTGTTCTTCGTATCCGTTCAGTGGATAAATATTTCTCCTATTTCCGACCCGTACACTGTTTTCTTTTTTTCCTTCTTTTAACTTTAGGTTATTCCTCAAGTGTATTTCGGTACTTCGAATCGCTAAACGCTTTATGATGCCGTTTCTTCCCATAATTCTCCTACTCGTAGACTTGGTAAATCACTATAAATACAACTGAATACCTTCGATAAGGGATATCATCGAAATGGCAATCTTCTCTGAATAGATGCTTTCTTCTTCAACATTGTCAATAACGAAAATAATGAGACTGGAGTTGAATCAATGGTCTAACAGGTTGATGATTAAAAGTTTCAAACCTCAGTCTTATTTTTTTGAATGTTTTTGAATTACCCAGCATATGACACAGTTCGAATCAACTTTTTATTCTTTCTTCCAATCGTATATCATGAGATTATTACATTTCAAAATAAATAAAATAATGAGTGATTTTTTAAACCACTGTTATAGTATAGTTCTAATATCTACCCAGTTACGGAAATGGCAATAATTTCATACCTTTTTCATAATATCATCAAACTAATTAAAATGAAAATAAATGCTCAACATCACTAACTACATGTACCACAAAACCTTCGAAATGAGTTAGGGTAATTTAATTTTGCTCAACTATTTTGCGTACTTGTAAGTAGTACAAATAGAAATCCTAAATAAAGTCTCGGGATGGTAAATCTAGAGTTTTGATTTCAGTTTACAGACTATACATTATGTTTTTTGTTTTGATTACTGATTGTTAGCTGACCTGCCAACAATGTTTTGGTTTTAGCTGTTATTTTTATCAGGCAATGATCAATTTTCAGATTCAGAGTATTCTTCGGGATGTTTTCTACTCTGTATTCAGTATTAGTGAATGAATTTATTCTTAAATGTTTATTACCAGTAGAGAGGGTATATTTACTTATTTAAATGTCATTAGATACACACCGCTAAGTTTGTTTTCCACATATGGATGAAGAAAATTATATTTTGGTTTCGTTCAAGCTAAAAATGATTGAAAGTATATGGAGCACGAATACAAAATAATAAATCTCTTATATAATCACTAAAGGTAGTATCTAACAATTAATAACAATCATTTCCGACAAATTGGCTATAGTTTCTTACCGATGTTGTATTACACTTTTCTATATGGAAATCAGTTTGTTTCTAGAAATTCAGTACTGTGATTGGGAATTATTAACTGACTGATCTAAACACATTTTAGTTTATTTAGACTTTCATTCAGACGACTTGTAAATAACCACATGGAAATTTGAACCTTCAAAAACTAACATAGTGATCTTAAGGTAATGCTCTAACTATGTGACTTGTATATTTTCAATTCAATCCCTGATAGAGACATAGAGATGCACACTTGGTAATAATTTTATACTAGGACAAAATAACAGTGTTATTTAGATTGAAACATAATCTAAGCTAACGTCAAATCAAACAGTCGGGCGTTAGGTTAGATTATATACTTGTAGAATCACGACTTATCATCCATAAATAACTTTTTGAAATAAAGCAGAAGATTGAAAGAAGTTTTTTCGTTCAATAAAGCCTATAGTACTTCTCAGTCTTTAATTAGTTGTTTTTTCCTAACTGCATATATATTTCCAGTATCTTGTGTATAGTTCAGTCACTTCGATTCTGTTCCTCAACAATTATCCATACATTGAATTAGTAATCATTGAAATACAAGAGATTGTACAAGTTCAGTGTTTTTATTGCCACAATAGGTCAACAATTGTTCATGAATAACAATCTCGGCGAGACCATAATTTACAGACGAACCGATCAGATTTGGGATAATACATCTTGGATTTTTAACGCAAAATTAATTCACCTATTATTGGCTAAGTAGCATTTTTGCATTTTAGCTTATGTCAGTTCGTGATGAAAATCATAAATCTAATTCGTAACTCTAACCATCAACTGTAAATCATAATCTTTGCTCTTCACATAGGTTTATAACCCTCATTTAGCTCTAGTAAGTTTATAGTTATGAGCGAATGAATATGTATCCAAATTGTATGAATGTATAGTTGATAGTCTGAATTAAAATGAATAATGTGATAAAGAGTGACGGTTATCTGAAAGAATTAAACGATGAAGCTTAAGCGAACTAAAATCTAAAAATAGAACAATTGGTAATCATAGTAACAAGAACTTATTGAATTTATTATTGATGATGATCATCAGTTAAGAATGTCAATACTTTACTCTTACACAAAGTTATTTAAAGTACTTACATAATCGGTGAGATTATAATTTATGGGCGACCTTTGAGCGACGCTAAAGTGATCTTGATAGTGTCCACCTAATAACTA